TAGTCGTGAAAAAAAGATTAATTACAATCGTGCATACGAATCACAGAGTAGAATAAACGCGCCGCACGGCACTTTGCGCACGGCATTCCCAATGTTAATTACACGCGATGGGCGCTTCGCTATTGTGCAGTGCGATGAAATTTCATTGAAGCGCGATTATGAAAATAACACGAGAAAAATAGCTCCATGATTCGCTCAATTCATCCGCAAATCTCGCACAAATTTCAGAAATTAGCAGAATGAAATGTCCAACAGTGGATGGCAAATCGCGATGTTTATAAATACCAAATTTATGCCATACGCGGTTGTATTAAAATACTGGTCTAATTATGTCCGTACTTATTAATTAAATGTATTGCAATGAGCAACGCTCGATGGCGTTTCGATTCAGATAAATGAAAAATTCAAAGTCTGATGTATCCGAATATATGTATATGAAAAATTCACGAAACACGATACAATTCACACCTATGAATAAATCGTGCGAAACGTGATTGTGTAATAAACAGTTAAAGAAATTTATAGTTAATCGCAACAGCTAATTAACGACACGCGCTGATAGTTATCGATTTTTAGTAGACAAGAAACATTACGTGATTTGACACTTGACGCGTCTCGAGTGATAATGCTACGATTGCACGGAGTTCGTGTCACTATTTAATTGCTTGTTAGTTTCGTTGCACGAGTGACAACGCGGCGTGCAACGACTTTGCATGTCAAAACACAGGATATATGCAAGCCAATCTTCCACGAAATATCATATTTACGAAATAAACGTACGTCGAGTATTCTATTTCATGCATTTAAAATAAACTCTCAATACGTACTCAATATAACGCAACACTCTCGTGATTTATAATTTTCATGAAAATCGCACTCGTAAAAGATAATACGTTACTCACCGATACGATATGGCGAGGTTGAAATTACTTGGAAATGCCTAGGCCTCTTTTTTTCTCTCGAATTCATTCGTTGCACTTGTACAACACTCCCGATGTTACTCGCACGCAACGCACGCTTTACCGTTTTACGACGGAATTCCATCGAAACGCGATCACAAAAATAATGCGGAAGAAGGAAATATGAAAGAATCGGAACTTTATGATCTGTTTGATATATATTCGGCCATGTATACCGTGCTCTCGAATTAAAAGTAATAAACGAATGTCAAACGAGAGATCATTTTAAATCAGTGAAATCATAGTTTGATGCAAGATACGTTTGAGAGAACAAAATTTATAGTATTGTCTTTCACTCGCGCGCATAAATATCGTAATAAAACAATAACTTATAATTCTTTTATTAGGCTTTAGGCGAGACGAATAAATTGTGCGAAATATTTACACAATTTATCGAGGACCGCTCAGCCATCTTTTTTACCGAAACAGTCAAATATAGTTTTCGCGCTTGCAATTCTTTTTATTGGCGCTTTTATGCACAAAATAATACCAGGATAAGTTGCGATCGAAATATCGACAATGCTAATTGTAAGTCGAGCTAATTGTTTGTAGGGAATAATCACTTTCGCTTCTCCTCGTACTTGACACGATCGCATTTCGATGTGTAATACCACGATGAAGCGATACGCGCCGTTGCCTGCCGTCTCGATGTGCGAATAACAATGCAGTGCGCGGCGGCCTTGTGTGCGAGGTCGTGCCCGAACAAACAACACCAAGACTAATTGGCACATTTACACAATTTCGTTATCAAAGGTTCGAAAAAAATATTTCAATTTGTATCTATGCCGAATATATTCCGTTCCTCGTATTTTAAATTAATTTCGATAAGAGAACTGTTACACTTTCTAGACTTTTTAGCGTCTAAAATAATGATTGACTCTCTTCGATCAAAAAAATGTTTTAAAATTAAAACAATGTTATTTTTAATCAATGAGAGAATTGCTTCGATCTCGATATATGTATGTGTACAAGTGTATATTACTAGTAGTAAATTGTAACTGTTACGTAATTATTTTCTTCTTTTAATTTAAATGGTTAATATGTATCATCTAATTATTCTGTTTATAAATAATTAATTAAAATATCACAAAACTACTCTCTAAAAATCAATCAATGCATTATCACTGACAACAGTTATAAGTATAGTACTGAATTATTCAGTGAATATTCACTGATTGACTTTTAGAGAGCATGTTTTTTTTTTAAATGGGAAACAGCGTCGACTCTTACTGCCTTCCTTTTCCTTTCTATTTTAATTGTTATACATATAACAAATATCAAATTAAGTTTTAAATTTATTAGCTAAATCATATCATGATTACTTTCAGTTAACTTTTTCAATAAAAAGGCGACGAATCCTTGTTACAATATAATGATAAGTGTTTTACAAGTATATTTTAAGAGGAGTAATACAATTCTAATAAAGTTTTTCCCCCCTCTCTCTCCCTTTATTTTTCTCTCCGCGGTTTTATTTAATAGAAAAAACTTCTTACGTTGCTGAAAATTTATTGGCTAAATCACATTAATGAGTTTCATGCCTGCGTCATCAGAAATGCTTGCTCGGTTTCGGGGTCGAAAAGTAAACCGAGGGTGCCCGCTATTTGTTACTTGTCCCACGCCAATTTCCGAGTAATTCGAGAGATCTCGAGACACCCTCATTGAACACGCACAGACGCCGTATGCGTGATCGAGACAAATGAAAGTAAAACAACAGTGGAGGACTACGCTACAAAAAAAAATGAAAGTAAAACGACAACGGGAGACTACGCCACAGAAAATTGTGATTAAAAAACTTAGCTAACGAGAAACAATGTATGTAAATTTTTCCTGCTAGAAATAGAAAGAAATATATGGATATGAATCCAAAGATATTTTACCAAGAAGCATGGACATATTCAGATGTAACAAAATTGATATGGAATTCAAAAGATTGTAAATCTAATGACGATTACACGTTTTTAACATCAGCAATTAAGGCTTCACGCATCTCACATCTTTGTCGCGTATTTACTGAATCTCTCCGGACGTAACGTTTTAAATGAAAAATAATTGGTTCTTTATCACAGCGGAATGTCCCAGAAGTGGACAGCCACGTTTAGCACTTAAGTGTTTTGCATGAGAAGAGAAATGTTGCGGGGAGCAGCTGCGGATAATTGTTATTATTACAGAAATCAACGTTTATTTCGAGAGTGAATACGAACGAGCGCGACTCCAGCCCTCGTCATTTTTCCGTTTCTCGCTGGCGGACACAAGTGTCATCGTATAGCCCCTTTACGATCCTCCATGGGGTTACATTAATTGCTACAGAATCGTTGCTGTCGTAAACACGAGCTGATAAATCGCCGGTGAAGCGTTAATCGATAACGTTGATAGCGCGCTAACACGACAAGAAAATGCGATAATGCGAGTAAAATGGAACAATGCAGGAAGCGTTTCCTACGACTGTGCGGAAATTACTGAAAATTGTTTCTGTATCACATCTAGTTTGTCGCAATCAGAAACGCATTTTCTTTCCCCGGCTGTGCTAAATTGGCAAGTGTCGCGAACGTAATTTTCTGCCGCGAAGCTCTTCGTCTTTCGCTTCCGTGTCGTGTCGGAGCATTTACCTTATCGAGACGAGTATCATGGCGAATATCAGGTACTTTCCAAGCAGCGGCACAACCAGCGACGTCGGCGGGATGATCTCGACGACTAGCAGAAAGAACACGTGGAGACTGATGAGAATCGAGATGGAGAGCGTTACCTGAAATTGCGAGACATTTGTTAAGAAAGTTTCATTATATAAGGAACAAAATGAAACATTAAAAGTTTGTTTTATTTGAAACGATCGCATTTATTCTAGGAACAGGGTCAAGTTATAAAATGTCTAGCCATTCGTATCTTCCATTGAATTAATACTTTGTACGATTACAGAATTTTATTGGTGATACATAATATTTTGTATTTAAAATTCTGTGGATTTATATAACTTGTTTAATTCTATTATAAATCGAGTAAATAAATTTTCTTGTAATCCTACATTTTTTATCTTTTTACTTTCCTATTTAATCTGATAGTCAACTCTCAGTTCAATTTTATGTTGAAAGCGAATTAGTCGATCGAATATATATCTGAACGGGTGTAGAAGAATGGAGAAGATTACTTGGCTATTTCTGTCACGTTATTTTACGACAGAAAAAAATATGGAGATCGAGGAACAGGTACTCCAAAGACACATGTTGCCTTCCCTTCAAAATATGTCCCTTGACAGGCGACAAATTCGAACCTATTCGAAGGGGCCAGGTAAAGGGCCGCGGATAGTCGAGCGGAAAATTCGTATTTATGATCCGCGTAAAGAATGTACGAAGCAAGAGCCGGAAGGATAAACGGGTTGGCCCCGTGAGGTGAAAGTTGCTCGCTGACAGAATTTATATGTGTCCGTGATCCATTCGTTTTAATAAAACTTGTAAACGAAGAACATCAGGCACGTACAGCCACGTCTGGGAGCTACTGTTGCCAAGTATGATGAAAATAAAAATGAGCAAGTACAACGGTATAACGGGGAGCAAAAGAAAAATTAAATATTGTTACTCATCATTGCAATACTCAATAAATTTCACAGCAGCGGAATCATAGCATGCACAAACGATATTAAGAAATGATCTTTTCCTCGATTAAAGATTAAATAACGTAGTTATCACATGATTTATGTACTAAATAAAAATTATTACATTCTAAGTTAAACTATATTGTAGTATATTCAAAGGAAATGTGTAGAGTATAAGTATTTAATATGAAACTAAACGTACAAATTTAACTAAATCATGACGCAATAATTAAGGATATATTGTCATACGTGTCGACATATATTTTATATTCTTTTGTAATGCTTAATGTGGTTTTATATTAAATTATAATTATTATGCGATTTTAGTATCGAAACTGTGTAAAAGACTAAAAAATTTCTCGCAAAGTCTGCAGTATTTCTTTGACAAGCATGATTATTCCTAAATCGAATGTCAAAGCCTCGAGCAAACGTTGCATTAGATAGTGGGATATACCGCAACTGTATACAAGTAACATTAAACATTTCTCGTGAAGGATTTATCAGGCACGCATTGCGGAAGCGTAAGTTAACTGGGTTAACGATTACTTAAAAAAAAGGAGGAAAAGGTTCTTCTTGTGTGCGTGGAACAGTCTCCATGTCCGGGGTTTTATTATACCCTTTTATGTCGGACATTATATAGGTTGGAGTGCAACTTGTATGAAGTTGAAAAGTTAGACATGCACTTTCCGAACTGTAGTAATTTTTCTGATATTAAACGAATTTTTAAAGAAAGTGTAATAAAATAGTAATAAAGAAAAAGAAAACAAAAGAATTTTCTATTTAGATGATAAATGCCCGTCATAAATATTTAGAATTAATATAAGAAAAGAATTAAGAGTTTACATGCTACATTTTTCTAACGTCCTACAGTTACAATATTATATATTATTGAGTATATTAGTATATTAGGCATTTTAAAGTGATTAAACATATACATACAGACATCTCTGATATTTTTATTTTATAATATAAAATCGGAATTTAGAAAAAAATTAGAAAATCGCTTCAAAGGATTTGAATTCAACTACGTTTGCTGCAAATCCGCGAATCGACCGTGTTACGTTATATTCCTCTCGGAAAAAAAATGAAAAGTGAGCTTTTTTACGCGAATTTGCTGTAACCGTGATCACGTAACGTTTTTGGGAATAAAATTTGATTGAATAAAATCCATGTGAGATTTCAGACGATGAAAAGTGAAATAAATGCAAAAATGCGCTGACATTTACGTGATGGATCGTCTGATTTCATCTAATACCTGAAAAATCGCATTGATACCACGCGATTTGAAAAATAAAAATATATAGAGACCTAAACTTTAGTTGTTTTTAAAAATATATACTTTAACAATTTAAATTACAATAACATATTAATATAAACTATAAACTAATAACAAAAGTTACGATTGCATTTGGCTCAGTCGTGAGTTTTATTGAAGTTTTTGTCTCTGTGGTAGTAACGTTATTTGCAATTGAAAAAGTTTTAGAATGAAATCGAGTTAATATCATGCATAGGTTCTTTGAGTCTGTTCCGTGATCTTTCACACAACCGTAAATCGTTTTTCCGTCAATAATGTTTGTTATAGGATCGTTTTCTATAAATTCCCGCGAGACAATTCTCGATAAATAGTTCCCGGCAAAGCGTATTTGCATAGCACATGGCCATCGGCTTATATTTCGTTTTTTTAATCGGATGCGACAGTCGCATGGCTTTTCAATAGCGCTTTGCGGCGTTTCACGACGATTAATTTACAGTACGGCTCGTCGTTACATGAAAACTGCCCATCAAGGCCAGCGTCAGCGGCGAGACTGTTTCTATCTCTCTTTTAAAAAATTTTACAAACCGACGTGTTTCTTTCGGTCAGTTTTCGCGATTTTCAATTCGTTAGCACTGCTTTCATTAAGTAATATATAAACTGACAATCTTTATTTATTTGCTTTTTATTTTACTAAAATTTCAAGCATGTTTATGAAACATTTCTTTTATCACGTATAATATTTAATTAACGTGCAATTACAATTGATATATACAATATAATAATTTACAATTATTTTTAGCATTTGTAATTTGTCAATTTTTGTGTACGAGCCGATTATAGAAAGATCTGTTTGTACATTTCTCTTTAACGAATGTTTTATGTTAACTTTTAATCTCTAATCTATTTAATTACGTCGTAATGCGCCGGCGTAAACAATATATACGGTTGTTTAAAAATATCTCTAATCATTAATCACACACACATCAGATGGTAACTTCCGTTATGACTTGGATATAAAATGGATCGTTTCTTTTCAGCGCATTTCCCGTCGATTACATCGGAATTCGCTGCACTAGCCCAGTAATAAAAACCAGTTTACATTTTCCAGAAACCACGAATGTATAACACGCGATCATCGACGGTGGCTCTTATCGGGCACCGAGTCGGCAACTCTTATTGCGAATTGAACGCAACGCGAGCGAGGGGGCGAGGGCGGCACGGCTTCATTTTTACTGCGGTTTCGCCGTTGCGATGGCGTTTCATAGCGATTAATTTAAAGGATCGACCACCGGAGCGCGATAGCGTCTATCGGGCCGCTACCCTGTCGTTCGCCCTGGCGGCTTTCATCGATGCATTCGGATCGATAGTGTACCCCGGTTACTTTCCATCCGACCGCGCCTTTAATTATTGTCGCCCACTCCTCCCCTGGCAATCGCACGCGTATCTTGTTGTTGTTTCTGCCAAATGTTTGAGCAAACGTGTCCGAATCAATTCCGTATGATCCAATAATTACTGCATGTCGCGAGAATATCGACAACTCCGACCCAAATTTTCCGTTTTGTAAAATATCCGATATTTTGTCTAATTTATCTATTGTCAATTTTAAAAGATTTTTTTTTATTCTTGGTATTATTTCGAAGACTCTTTCTATTCCTCTGAATAAAATACACAATTATTAATTGCTCGTGGAATTAAATGGGATTGGCGCTTCGGAAAGAGCGTTCAATAATTCTGATATAATCCGATAAAGGAATAATTTAGATGTTCCGCCTGTTATTGTTTTAAGCCGCGTATGATCAACAGAGAATCAACTAATACCGCCTCGTAGCTTGTGTCTTGTCACAGCACGGTCTGTTCGCCACGGTATATTCACGGTTAAGCAAGATCCGCGTATGTACGTTGACGCGATACGTCGTGTTCGATTAGCTCGGTCCTGTTCAATATGCGCGTGTGTACCGGAAGTGTAGGAACACTACGTCTGTCGACGAGCGGAGATAACGAAAAATGACACTACTCACGCTGGTAAGATGACAATTTTTGCGAGTCACCCAAAGAAATAGTATTATTAAAGAATTGTTTAATTACCCCAACGATTACTTTGTTTGCGATTAATGTAAATTGAAAGACAATAAAAGCAATTTAAAGACATATCGTCTTATTATATGCTATTTGTAGGCAATGAGCAAATCCACGTGTTATTAAAGTTGACAAGTTTCAAGTAAAGTCTCTAGTGAAATAACCGACTTCATTATCTAAAGTAATTTCGTATTCCGTAGCGGGAATCCGATCTCGTAAGCCATACACGTGAGCAAAAGTTCGAAATTTCACGTTTAATTTGAGGAAAAAGCGCAGCTTCTCTGGCGACTCCGGATAGAAAGTCGCTGGCTCACTTTCGGCTGATTACTTACTTGTTCTCGAGCGGTTGTCTGCGTAATTAACGTGCGGGTGGAATGTCGGTGCGCAGCGAAATTGGCTCGCCCCGTCAGCCAAACCGTCGAATCAACGTTGTACGTGTACGGGGCACACGGCGGAATGTTATAAAGCAAATATGATTATATTGTTCGCGGGACCGCTCCCCGCTCTCTGCCCCTCATCCCTCCCTCGGCATAATAATACCCCGTGGTATCCGTCATCCATTTTCCTCGCCCGTTACACCCGCCTCGCATCAGTCAAATGATAATAACCTACGAGCAACATCTTCATGCGGCATCCCAAATTGCGCGGCATCGATCCGCGTAGGAGAATCGTCTTCAAAGTTCCTGATAATCTATCTCCCGTCGCAATTATGTCACGACATAACCGTTTCTCTGCACAAAACAGTCGTCACGAGCGCGAGAATTAACGGAATTTAATATTTCGGCAGCAGCGAATTTTCACCCGTCAAATTTTATGTAATTGACAA